CCATCCATCCAACAATTCATCCATCCATCCATCCATCCATCCATCCATCCATCCATCCATCCATCCATCCAACAATTCATCCATCCATCCATTCATCCATCCAACCATCCATCCAACCATCCATTCATCCAACAATTTATCCATACAACCATCCATCCATCCATCCATCCAACAATTCATCCATCCATCCATCCATCCATCCATCCATCCATCCATCCATCCATCCATCCAACAATTCATCCATCCATCCATCCATCCATCCATCCATCCATCCATCCATCCAACAATTCATCCATCCATCCATTCATCCATCCAACCATCCATCCAACAATTCATCCATCCATTCATCCATACAACGATCCATCCATCCATTCATCCATACAACGATTCATCCATCCATCCAACCATCCATCAATTCATCCATCCAATCATGCATCCAACGATCCACCCATCCATCCAACCATCCATCCATCCAACAATTTATCCATCCAATCATCCATGCAACGATCCATCCACCCATCCACCCATTCATCTAACCAACCAACCAACCAACCAACCAACCAACCAACCAACCAACCAACCAACCAACCAACCAACCAACCAACCAACCAACTTGCATAGCCACTCAATTCATCCTTAAGTGACAACATTTTAAAAAATATTTGAAAACCCATCACATAAAATCCATTAAACCCACCCCACCACCCCAATGGCAGCATCAATACAATCAAAGCAGCCTCTCGATGGGGTTCATCTCCATTCAGAGTCCCCAGGCCTGCTGACAAAAGTCCATTTTTAGGGCCCCGTGGAAAAGCAGTAGGGTGTTGGCCAACCATACCTAGGGAGGGATGATAGCAATACTAATAGCACTTGGACTTATATGCCGCTTCACAGTGCTTTCCAGCCCTCTCTAGGCGGTTTGCAGAGTCAGCCTCTTGTCCCCCAACAATCCGGGTCCTCATTTGACCCACCTCGGAGGGACGGAAGGCTGAGTCAACCTTGAGCCTGGGGAGATTCGAACTGCCGAATTGCAGTCAGCTGAAGTAGCTAGCCTGCAGTACTGCACTCTTAACCACTGAGCCACTTTGGCTCTTCTGATGTTCTACAAAGGAGGGGGCCACCCCCAAGAAAGCCCTTTTTCTTGGTCCCACCAGATGACAACCCGTCATCAACGTTACCCATAACACAACCTGCCTTTCCATCCTGGTGGACCAGGTTGATGGAATAGGGTCCTTCCAATAACCTGGCCCCAACGTTGCCACCTCCATGTTGCTCTTCTGGGTTCCTGGGGTAATCGGTTGGTCCCGTCGATCTCCCTGAGGTCCTTCTCCTTCCATAGGTGAGAGCGTGGAGGAGAACGCCAATGTGGTGGTGCGCCTGTTGATCCGTCGTCCTGAGTGCTTTGGCCCGGCCCTGCGTGGGGAAGGAGGCAACGGCTTGCTGGCGGCCATAGAAGAAGCCATCCAGATCTCTCAGGATCCTGCCCGGGATGGGCCGACCGTCAAGAAAGATCGCCGGAGGGAATTGTGCGTGAAGGGCTTGCTGGAAGGGAGTGGGAGGAGAAATCTGTGGTATCATTTGCAAGGTCTTCTCTTGTTTGACCAAATACAATTCTGGTTTGGCTTGGCCAACTTCCTCCTTGTTTTTCTGTTCTCCTCACCTCTTTCTGACTTGATAAGTTTTTAAAAATTGAGACACCGTAAAGGATTTTTTGCAATTATAGGATTGTGAATAGGTCCTGATGAGCTATGCTCTGTCTTTCGCTAGTGTGACTGGGAGTATAGTTGCAGTTCTGTTTTGTTTTTTTACGCTAACTTTTTTTATTCATCTATGCCTCTTGTGACCCCCATGTCATTTGGACTGGAGACATTGTTTGCTGCAGGGGTGAATTGCAATTTTTTTTACTACCAGTTCTGTAGGCGTGGCTTGGTGGGCGTGGTGTGGTTTGGTGGGCGTAGCAGGGGAAGGATACTGCAAAATCCCCATTCCCTCTTCACTCCTGGGAAAGGATACTACAAAATCCCCATTCCCTCCCCACTCCAGGGAAAGGATACTGCAAAATCCCCATTCCCTCCCCACTCCACGGGAGGGATACTGCAAAATCCCCATTCCCTCCCCACTCCTGGGGAAGGATACTGCAAAATCCCCATTCCCTCTCCACTTCAGGGGAAGGATACTGCAAAATCCCCATTCCCTCTCCACTTCAGGGGAAGGATACTGCAAAATCCCCATTCCCTCCCCACTCCACGGGAAGGATGCTGCAAAATCCCCATTCCCTCCCCACTCCACGGGAAGGATGCTGCAAAATCCCCATTCCCTCCCCACTCCACGGGAAGGATGCTGTAAAATCCCCATTCCCTCCCCACTC